TTAAATTGTTAGAAGCTCTTTTTGGTCCTTAATCTCTTTTATTTCCTGCTGCTTTGGGTTTAATGTTGTTCCCCAGAAGAAATAAGAGATCCCAGCATCTTTAAGTCACCTTTTAAACAGGTCTGGGGTGAAGTAAAAATTTCAGTGAGTTTAATATCATACCTCTGATAGTGGTAAAAAGCAGATCTTTGGGGAGGACTGTAAGAGAAGCATATGAGAATTACCTATACTAGATTAATTTCCCACCATTTGCAGCTTAAGGACTTCTTGAAATGGATGTATTTGCAGTGCATTTTGTGAGTTCAGTGTAGTTCTCTTCTATGAACATGAATGGGCCTTCTCTGACACCCCTTGAAATTTTTATTACTTATTTTAGCTTTGTCACATAAACTATTTATTTTGTGAAGAACTACCCCCCTTTTGGTTTTGTTTATTTTGTTTTTGTTTTATTTTGGTTTTGTTTACATTGAATCTGGAGCATACCAGCTATGCTTCATCCTTCACAGTGCTTGTACTTGAAGAGAAAATGAAAATCAATCTCTGCTCCCTTCTGGCTGCTTAAGACTTCTGCTGTATTTTCCCTCAAGTGCCTCTTTTTCAGACTGAGAAGCCTACTTGAGTCTTGGTTTGAGAAGTGGTCGATAGCAGAAGTCAATAAGTTTTTGGTTTTTTTAGGTCTCCTGGTTGATGTGTAGCTAACCTGAAAATAGATTTGAACCTTAGGTATTTGTGCTCAATTTAATAATGCTTTCTTTTTTTCTTTTTTAAATTGCTGCAGTCTTTGGACAAGGGCCTAAAAATTACTGAAAAGGTGCTGACAACAAAAAGAGACATTTTAAATCCCTCTCACTGGATATAAGTATAGAACAATCTCTGTGTACACTTGAAAATGTAATTCTTGCCTTTTGGGTCTAAGGAGCTTGTATTTATGTACAGTAAAATGGCATACATTATTGCTGATGGTGGAAAATTATTTTAAACAGTTAATTCAATTATTGCCAAATACATATTTTTTATATTTTAAAACAGATTTCCCTACCCCTTGGATTCTCTGCAGTAGATAGTTTACAGGAAATGCAAGTCAGCTATACACCTGTCAATTAAAAGTCTGCAACTTTTTGAGAAAAAATGTTCCTCAAAACACCTGTTTGTATGCCATCATTACTGGTCTAGAGTGTCAGTTCATCCCAATGGTTTTATGTAACCTCTTCTAAAGAATTTATAGAGGTTAATGGCTTTATAACCTTTACAAAGTATATACTTCAAAGAGTACAATCCAAACTCTGAGCATTAAATCTTGATAGATTTATAGTTATGTTAGTTTGCCATTAGTTAAAGGAAGTTATGATAACTGAGTTCCAGGGTATGTTGTATTTAAAAAAAAAAAAAAAAANAAAAGCCTGACTTTTTTTACACTGAGTGGTTTTTAAATGACTACAAACAGCAGTCACATCCACAGTTCAGTGAAGTTAAAGGGAGGCCTTCTGATCTCAGGAAACTTGATATGAGGCTTGGGAAAAGGCAGGGCCAGATGAAACACACAAATCTCTGACCCACCATTGGCTGGTGCTGCATCCATGTGAAGTATAAATATGTGTATCCATTTTTCCCTTATGTCTTAGATATCCTAACATGATTTTGCTTTGAAGCTGTGGTGATTCAAGCACTTCAGGACACTGGGACTTATAACATTTCTTTCTCTATGGATCAAGCAATTCTTCTTCTGATTTTATTAAAATGTTTATTTAAGGTAAGAGAAATGCTCTGTGTTTTGAAGGTGGATAGCTATTGTAATTGAATGTTGAAAATAAGTGGTATGCGATTTGGACTGGGTTTTTTTTTCTGTTGTTTTAGCAGTCACGGGGAGCTCTTACTTAGTGCTACTGAACATTCCCAGTCTTCCTTATATTTAAATTGTTAGAAGCTCTTTTTGGTCCTTATTCTCTTTTATTTCCTGCTGCTTTGGGTTTAATGTTGTTCCCCAGAAGAAATAAGAGATCCCAGCATCTTTAAGTCACCTTTTAAACAGGTCTGGGGTGAAGTAAAAACTTCAGTGAGTTTAATATCATACCTCTGATAGTGGTAAAAAGCAGATCTTTGGGGAGGACTGTAAGAGAAGCATATGAGAATTACCAACACTAGATTAATTTCCCACCATTTGCAGCTTAAGGACTTCTTGAAATGGATGTATTTGCAGTGCATTTTGTGAGTTCAGTGTAGTTCTCTTCTATGAACATGAATGGGCCTTCTCTGACACCCCTTGAAATTTTTATTACTTATTTTAGCTTTGTCAGATAAACTATTTATTTTGTGAAGAACTGCCCCCCTTTTGGTTTTGTTTATTTTGTTTTTGTTTTATTTTGGTTTTGTTTGCATTGAATCTGGAGCATACCAGCTATGCTTCATCCTTCACAGTGCTTGTACTTGAAGAGAAAATGAAAATCAATCTCTGCTCCCTTCTGGCTGCTTAAGACTTCTGCTGTATTTTCCCTCAAGTGCCTCTTTTTCAGACTGAGAAGCCTACTTGAGTCTTGGTTTGAGAAGTGGTCAATAGCAGAAGTCAATAAGTTTTTGGTTTTTTTAGGTCTCCTGGTTGATGTGTAGCTAACCTGAAAATAGATTTGAACCTTAGGTATTTGTGCTCAATTTAATAATGCTTTCTTTTTTTTTCTTTTATAAATTGCTGCAGTCTTTGGACAAGGCCCTAAAAATTACTGAAAAGGTGCTGACAACAAAAAGAGACATTTTAAATCCCTCTCACTGGATATAAGTATAGAACAATTTCTGTGTACACTTGAAAATGTAATTCTTGCCTTTTAGGTCTAAGGAGCTTGTATTTATGTACAGTAAAATGGCATACATTATTGCTGATGGTGGAAAATTATTTTAAACTGTTAATTCAATTATTGCCAAATACATATTTTTTATATTTAAAAACAGATTTTCCTACCCCTTGGATTCTCTGCAGTAGATAGTTTACAGGAAATGCAAGTCAGCTATGCACCTGTCAATTAAAAGTCTGCAACTTTTTGAGAAAAAATGTTCCTCAAAACACCTGTTTGTATGCCATCATTACTGGTCTAGAGTGTCAGTTCATCCCAATGGTTTTATGTAACCTCTTCTAAAGAATTTATAGAGGTTAATGGCTTTATAACCTTTACAAAGTATATACTTCAAAGAGTACAATGCAAACTCTGAGCATTAAATCTTGATAGATTTATTGTTATGTTAGTTTGCCATTAGTTAAAGGAAGTTATGATAAGATAACTGAGTTCCAGGGTATGTTGTATTTCAAAAAAAAAAAAAAAAAGAAAAAAGAAAAAAGCGGAATGTTTTTGCTTTTTATATGTGTGGGTTTTTTGTTTGTTTTGTTTGTGGTTTGGGGTTTTTTTTGTTGCATGGAAGATTACTCTACAGGACAACACAAAATAATAAAATAATAATAAAACTCCTAACTTTTATTTTAGTGTCCTAGGGATTCCTATTTGATTTTTATAGTTTTTTTTTTAGTTTTTTTGAACTACATTTTGAATTGATTGCTAAATGATGGCATTTGTCATCTCAATTCATAAAGAAAATAAAAACAGAACATAAAAGAGAGAACTGCATCTTTTATAAATGCTATATGGTATGGATTGGCATCACATGCACCAATTTATCTGAATTTGAGAGATGTGATTCAGATTATATTAGATAGAAAAAGCCCGTAAATTTCTGATTCCAAATGAAATTCAAATAGAGGAGGAACCTGCTTTTCTGAAATGTTGATCCAAAGTCTTTCAAAGGCAGGCAAAGTTATCAAAAAGGTAGTATCAAAAATACAGAAGGCTTTTGTCTAGAATGAGTTGACCTCTGTAAGAATTTGAAACAGAATGACAAAATCACTTAGGTAGGAAAAGACCTCTGAGATCATCAGGTCCAACTTATGACCCAACACCACCATGTCAACTAGACCATGGCACTAAATGCCACATCCAGTCTTAAGACTGTGCCCCTTGTCCTATTGCTGGTTGCCTGGGAGAAGAACTCAAATCCCACCTGGCTACAACCTCTTTCCAGGAAGTTGTAGAGAGTGGTAAGGTCTCCCCTGAGCCTCCTCTTCTCCAGACTGAACAACCCCAGCTGTCTCAGCCTTTCCTCATAGGACTCCAGTCCTTTCACCAGCCTTGTTGCCCTTCTTTGAACTCACTTCAGCACTTCAACACCCTTCCTGAACTGAGGGGCCCAGAACTGGACACAGCACTCCAGGTGTGGCCTCACCAGCGCTGAGTACAGGGGAAGGATCACTTCCCTGCTCCTGCTGGCCACACTGTTCTTGATGCAGGCCAGGATGCCATTGGCCTTCTTGGCCACCTGGGCACACTGTTGGCTCATGTTCCGCCTGCTGTCAATCAGTATCCCCCTGTCCTTTGCTGTCTGGCCACTCTCCAGTCACTCTGCCTGTAGAGCTGCATGGGGTTGTTGTGGTCAAAAAAACAGAATGAATTTTGTGCTGCTGTGGATAAATTGGATTGTTAGGGAGGTGTGTGTTTAATAAATTATTTCTTCATGTCTTGAATATTGTTTTTTCTTTTTCTAAGATATTTGAAATTATGAAAGTGATTCCACTAAAGTCTTTAATGCATAATGGAAGAATAGGACTGAGACTTCCAGCTCCTGACTGTCTGCTAACTGTGATTACAACATGTTCACTGCAAGTGACATCTCTGACCTTGTTTCTAAAATGATGACAGATTTCTGTCGTGTTTGGGTCAACTGACATGGTTTGGCCATCTCTGGAGAGAGAAAGAAAACTAGAACCTGTACCTGCAGAACTTGTAAAAAATTATGAAGCCTTTTATGTCACACAGTAGGGCTGGTAATACTGGTCCATATAAAAACTGTTGCTAGCTGACAAACTATGGTTAAAATCAGTTAAAACTGACAGAATTAATTATTTAGTTAGAGGTATATTTTCTGCATTTTCTGCTAAGCTGCATTCCTGTATGTTTCTGTTACAGGGTTTCGAGTGTCTAGACTGTGACCAAGGGAAAAAGCCTGCTAGAGCAGTTTTGATTGAGTGGACTGAACTGCCAAAAGGAGAGGATCCAGACTACTATATTGTGACGTGCCAGCAAACAGATGCTTTCAGTCAAAAAGTAAATTTCATCAGTCTAAGAACTGAGTAGTTCCATATATTTTTAAACTGTAAATAAGAGTAAAACTAGTAGCCCTGTGGGCCTGATTGATTCTTTTTTTTTTTTTTTAATTCAAAATAGCGAGTAAAGAGAAAGTTTCAAAAATTGTTACTGAATTTTGTAATTATTGTAATTTATGTGCATTGTTACAGAGTTGTCCTTAAACCAGCGGAACTTAAAAGACTCTCAAGTATTCTGTTGAATAAGGATAGGCAGGCATATGTTCAAAATTAAGGATATGCAAGATCTTCAAGGAGAAGAACTCTTTGAATGAGGAGTCTAACTTCTCCAGGACAGACACAGACACTACGCCTACCTCTCTGTGGGAGGGTGTTGTTCTTATTTTGAGTACAGGATGTTCTGGAACATAAAGAAAATAAAGGGATTTCAATATGAAGGTGTTTGTTAATAGTGTCATTTCTAAAAGGTTTTACTTTAAATGTTGGGTATTTTGCAGTTTAACTGAAGCCTCAAGTTTGATGTTCTGCAATATCAGCTACCCTTTTAAAACTCTGTAGATAATTTATGAATTTTATTTTTGTTACTTCCACTATATTCAGAAATTCTTTTACTTGCAGATTGTAAGAAACATTTCTAAAGTTGAACAAGAGCCTGTCAGTACTACAGTTCTGCTTGAGGAAAATAAGAAGTATGATATAACAATAGAATCCCTAAAAAGTGGCCGAATCTTAAGTGTAAAATCATTTAAGACACGTAAGTAGAGTAGCAAAAAAATATATTGGTATCTTTATAGTTAGTTTAATACAGAAGATTAGAGAATCAGGAGTCTAGCAATTAGTCACGTATCTAGAAACTTGACATTGATGTATATTTTCAGCCACGAGGTGTAGTAGGAATAATTTCATATAACTTGTTTGTTTAGTGTAACAATTCTGAAATATGGGACTGATGTAAAAGTTCATGAGATTTTTAAATATCACAGGTTTTGCTGTACTACAGTAATACAAGGAGAAGAGATTTATAAAAGAAGACCATGGAGAAAGTTACTTAAAGCCTGGCAATTTCATATCAACATAGAGTTGTGATTGTTTTTCTTTTATAACTTAAAAAAAAATAAATATTTTTGTTTCTACTTCATGACATTCCCACTTCAGAAAGAATTAATTAGTAGCTTGAAGGTCTTAGCCTTGTAACTCACTGGAATAGATTTTTCGTATAGGAATTTGTGAGTCTGGTCACTGAGCTTATAAAAATGTCCTCTACAGATGTAAATCTGTTTAGGATCATAAGTCCCATCAATTACTAAAATGAAAGGGCTTTCTAATCTTAATTTTGTTAATTACAATAGTTTATAGCATTACCTTTTTACACATTACAAGATCACACTAGCTTTGGAATACAGACTAGATTATGAATACAAACAACATAATTGGGAAAAATATATGGTTGAAAACATTGCAGCAGCTGTTGAATGCTAAAAGTACACTCAGAAGCTGCAGAAAATCGTTCACACATGCTACTAATGGGTTACTGCACTGGACATCTATTACTTAACTGCTATTCTATCAAAGTATGTACTTTTACAGCCAAACACTCCTTAAACTGTGCACTTTCATTTCTTGTTGCTTCAGACATAAGTTAAGGTACCATGACAATAAATTAAACCATGACATTCCTAAATGACACTACCTTTCTTTCCCTACTGTGTGTATCCCTCATCATTTCTCAAAAGAAAAAAATTAAAATGTTGATGGAACACTGAGTTAATTATTCCTTTGTGGTAAAGACACTGTTTATTATTTCTTGTTGTACTAGGTGGAATTTCTGAAAAGTACATAAAAACATTTGTGACAACCACTACAGTGTCTTTTAATTGGAGTATGGTGACCAAAGAATTTTCAGTTTCTGTTTCACTGAATGATACTTCTGAGATCATAAAAAGACCCAGTGGATTCTTTGTATGGAGAAATTTGACACCTGCCACCTTATATACATTTAAGTTTATATTTGAACAATTACATCTTGAATTTGTGAAAGTGTCTCAGTCACTGGATGTTCAAGCTGAAACAGGTATATATTTGAGTTTCTTGAAGTCACAGTGGATACAAGTTATTTTCTAGATAAGTTAAGAGTAAATTGTAAAATCCTATATTCCATTTTACAGCTTATAGTAGATGCGGATTGTTTTAGTTCTGGAATGTGGAAAGAAATTGAATGTTACTGAAATAGAAAAGTTATTTCTACTTATTATTTCTTAGTATTTTTAGTACGAATATTTCAGATTTTTATGTGCAAATATTTTAAGCTAACTATATTTTTGCAATCTAAAATAGAGTCAAGGCAATGTTGAAGTTAAAAATTATAATTATTTGAGTGTATGTATTGAATTTGCTATATAATTTCAGTGAAAAGGCAATGAAAATCCTGAACTTGATAAGCATTTGGAACACTTTCAAAATGAAGGTTTTGTACTGCTGAATGGCTTTGTACTACAAAGCTGTGCTGCTTTGTAAGAAGTGCTATAAAAGAGGCAGGATTCTGAGGATGTTATGGTTTAGTTATGTAACTTCATTCCTTTAAATGTGCCACTCTGATAATGCAACTTAAAATCTTTAAAGTTAGAAAAAGAAAGAATAATATACACTCAAAGTCAAGGGAATAATTATTTTCCTAAACTCAGGAAGCTATTAAAAGCAAGTTATTTGTAACTTAAGTTTTAATGTTTAAAAAAATGAACCGTCAGAAACTAAACCTAAAGAATGGTTGGGTTTTTTTTTTTTTTGTTGGTGGTTTTTTTTTTTTTTTTTTTGAGTAGGATTGAAAATTAGTGGATATCTTTTTTCCTTTATTTAATTTCCCCCTTCACTGGCTTGTAGCTGATACTCTTCTAATTCAGTCAGCCAGATTTTTTAAGACACTCAGGATTTTGAAGGACTGTTGACTCATAATTACTGAATATTTGGGGAGTTGAAATCATGAATTAATTAAAGGCTATTGTCATCAAAATGTCTGTGTAATTATAAGAAATCTTACACTGTACCACTGATATGAATGATACAGAATCTCTCTAAAATCCTGTCCTTCACCTGTAGGCAGCTGTTCCCGAGGGTGGGTGGCATTCCAAAGCAGCTGCTATCGAATGGGTAAGGAGAGCAAGCCATGGAAAGCAGCACAACAAATCTGTGGAACGTCTTCACAAGAGGCACATCTTCTTGACATTGGGAGTGAAGAAGAATATGGTTTTATGTTGTCATATCTCCAGAAAATTAGTCGAATAATCATGATATGGACAGGTCTTAATGACTTAAGGGTCAGTCTATTTTATCTTCTTTGCTATAACACATATGGAAGCAAAAACATTTTGGTATTAGATCCCGATTGTTTGGAATAAATATTCCTAAATGGTACATTGGTTATTTGTTTATGTAGTTATTAGTAATGAGAAGAGCAATCATTATTTCTTCCTATTTAGAAATACTGAAAATCTTCAGAAGGCTTTAGCTGTGAAAAAACCCCCATCGTTTATACATAACCTGTTTAACTTTTCTCTGTTTTCGTGTATGTCTGTATTTCCCTGGGATATTGTTTTGCCTGTAGGTGGTGCTCTATTACCAGATTTTAAATCTTAGTCTACACATGGCGTACTATGTGTAGTTACGAAGTCCGCGGTTGGCTTTCTCAGTTTTGATGCAGGTCTGAAATGTTGAGTGTTAAGCCTAGGGAAGTCTACTCAGTATAGATGCTGGCTAGGCCAGTGGAGAAAGGAATCGGAGCAAGGTGTTTCTTGTGAAAGGTTTCCTGTTCCCCATATTTGAGATATGAAGGTTCTCAGTGTTGCACCTGCTGTTACATCATGATTCGCCATAGTGTGGTGTGTCTGATTTGGGAACAACTACAGACACAAATAAAAATACTGGCAAAGTGCTTAGAAAGATGGAGGCATTTGCCAGAAACATGGGATCCAGTCTTCTGTGATTTGGTTTAAGGAAAACTTCTTTTGTGTTAAGTATCAGAAGGTTGGGAGAAAGCCACTTTTTCTCAGTTTAAAAAATCTGCTCTTTGAAATTTAATTTTAATATTGTTTTGATCAAATTATTTTCAAAGAAATACTGTGAAAAAAGTAAAAGCAAAGCAAACTTTATGTGTAAGAGCAGGAGTGGTGTCATACCCCTTCAAAGATGGAAAAAATATTTTTTGCTGGCTGGGGCTACAAAAACAAGTCAGAGTGGGATAACATGGAGACTGAAGAAACACAGAGAAGCACTCTAACCATCCTGGTTAGTGAAGCACTATTAATATGTGCATTTTATATATAATATTATTTTGTATATGCATTTTATATATAATATTATTTTGTATATGAGACTGTAGAGTCACTTCTCAAATGGCTGTAATTTTTATACCATAGTGATATTCATCGTAACCAGCTTGGTATTTTAGAAATATAGGTGTTTGTAAGTGGCTACCAGAAATAGATGTCCCATGGAGCATAATACTTTGATGTGTTGGAAAGAGTACTAGAAATTTGGGGGCTTTTAACTCTGATTACAGAGAAAAGAGTTAATTGCCAGTTTGGAATTTGACTGTTACTCAACTGTTTAGTCACTGCATGCATTTTTGTGTCTGTGGGAGTCAGTCAGTTAAATGAACTAGATGAGTGCCATATCTTAAGAGTAGCAAGGGATAATAATAAAATGCTTGCTTTCCAAACACTTCTTTCCTAATTATTTTTTTCTTAATTAGTGTGTTCAAGTACTGGATGAACACCTTTCATTCTGAAGTGTCATTGTTTTCATTTGTTCTCATTTTATGAGAACTCTAAATTGTACTTGCATCAAATTGTACTTACCTCAGGAGCTCAAAATCATGGGACATACACTAGGAGTTGCAGGATTTGTTTAAAATCTGAGATAAAAAATATGGATTAAATTATTTTTGCTTTCTCATTCATATTTGGAACACTAGGGAGTTAAATTTCTGTTTTCAAGTGTTTTTCTCTCTCAGTTCCCATGGGACTTGAAATATTTAATGAGAAGAAATTGAGACTATAACCTGCTCAGAAGATTTCAGCAGCCTTAAGAAGACTGCCAAGCACTGTGACATTGATAAAAATTAGTGACACTGTGAGCAACATCAGTTCTGTAGTATTTGAATTCTCACAGTGTCTCCTTCTTTAACCCTACTTTGATCTGTATCTGAATTAAAACCTTTCCTGATGAGGCTGAACATTCTTGTGAAAAGCAGCAGAGGCCCTGGAGATGTAGGTCAGTGCCCCAGACAAGGATGAATGAAATTCTTTGTTGGTACCCTCATGCCCATCCTGACATGCTGTGCAGTTCTTCAGAGCTAAGAAGTGGTAAAGGTAGACAAAGATTGTTCACTGAGGTTTCTCTTACAAACTTTGCTGCAGAAGTTTGCATCATAGTAGTATCTTGTGATTTCCTGTGCTTGTTGTTAACTCTGGTGACCAAGAAGACCAGTATAAAAAAACCTGCTCTATATAGCATTTCTGAAATGGCAGACTATACCCACAAGTCCTCCTGAAAGTCAAGTTGAATTGTTTCATACCATTGAAAATCTTCTTTGCTCTCCTGGGAAAATGAATTATATAACAATATTTTATTTGATATTTTTTCAATACAACAAATTAATTGAAAAAATAGTCTCAGTCTCAACAAACATGATTTTTTAATTGTTTTCTCAGAGCAGTGGAAAAAATATTCTTTTTTCTCCTCCCCTTCCCCACTTCTTAACATCTTTAATAAAAGAGTAAACAACAGAAGCCTTAACATGATGGTGGCACCTCAACTTTTCTCTATTACATTACTTAAAGAGTTTACTTAGGCTGTAGGACCATGGACTTGCTATGCCTGAAAGCACTTTATGGAAGTTTACTGCCTGAGAGTGCCTGAATGCCATGCAGAAATGTGCTGGGTTTTCTATAAATCCCCTGTAGATGTCAGTACATGTTAGTGCAGTGTAGACTGAAACCTGTCTCCCATTAGAGGGATCTGGGTTGCAATGCTGTAAGCATATTCTACAAGTATCTTTCCTCCAAAATATCATGTTGCCCCAGTCTAATATTTGTAGAGCTCTGCTGGAATAACTGAAAGTAACTCAAAGGTAAGAAACTTGGAGGGAGGTGTAAGTGTGTCCTAAATGTTGAGCAACCAGCAAACAGGAGAAAGGGGAAAGATAGCATTTTCTCATCTGGTTGTGAATCTAGCCATGTTTGTTTTTTTTTTTTTTTTTCTTCAGCTAAATATTTTTGCTTTCAGACTGGATTTATTATTATTTTTCACTATTTTGGTTTTTTTTCAAAGTGAATGATATTTTTAGACAATTACCCATACAGGATTATTAAATTATTTCATTAGTAGTGATTTTTAAAGGCTTATTTGTAATGATGAAACATACTTATGTGGCTTATATTACGTTATTTTATTATCTTGTTATCTTTTGTAATAGGAGAGATAGAAATTTAAACTGAAACATTTACTTTATTCCAAATATTCCTATATAATTAATTTGTATAAATGAAGTACACAAGTTTTGCACGTTTAGGAAATATACTTGCAATGAGGGAAGCCTTAATAATTCATCAATAGAATCTAAAAATACATGTTTTCCTATTTTCTTTTTTTTTTTTTTTCAATCCAGGAAGAAGGTCAGCTCTTGTGGACAGATGGATCTCCTTATCTTCTTAAAGCTGGTATCTCAGCTTTGTCAATGATACCAGAAAACCAAACCGATTGCTATGCCCTTCAGAGAGATCCTACTGGTCCAGATTATTTCTTCACAGGATTTTTCTGCTATGTACAGCTGCCATATATTTGTGAATATGAATGTAACTATATTTTTCAATCTTCTGCATTTATTTTAAAAACCTTACCCTGATTGCATTTATATTTGAAGAAACAAATACAAAAAGGAAAAGGTTGTAGTGATTTTTTTTTTTTAACTTTTGATCTTCTTTTTCAGTACCTTTGGTACCAGAAAACATCACATTTAGTGTGCATGATGTCAAGACAACTGAAGCTGTATTTATGTGGAGTGATATGGGCATGTGGCTCAAGTCAGGTTTTGCACTTATAATCAAGTACTATTTTGATCAGTGGAAACCATACATTCTGAACTTACCTGCAAATGCAACTCAAGCAAAAGTTGGGCACTTGTCTCCTGGCCTTCACTATAGTTTTTTATTAGCAGCAAGGAACTCAGAAGGAGCACAATCTATCTTAAGTCCAATTCTGAAGGTAGAAACAAGTAAGTAACAAAAATAAATAGCAATAATAACCAAATAATCATACATTTTTTTAAATATTTTTCTTTAATTAAACAATTTCCTGTGTTGATATTTTGTCTGAGAATATAAATAAATCTGAACATGAATTCTGATCCAGTATTTACTAGTTTGCAGAGTGGATTCTAAAAATTTCATTTAGCTTTGTGCTAAAATCCTTTGTTGGAGAAACCTACCAGAAACCTACCGGTTGGTAGAGATGAAAATGCCTTTGCACCTAAAGGCGGTCAAGTGGAGATATCCTTAAGAAAAAAAACTACTTTGTGGACACAATTTTAGGTGCAAGTATTCTTCGTGTTCCTGGGGAATATTTTTATCCTGTTTCTGTTCCTATCTTATTCAATAGGGCCGTTGCACTCCCAAAAGTTAGAGGCTACATATGTTTCATCTGCAGAAATACATTTAAAATGGAGTCCTCCACAACATTCATCCAGTGCTTCTTTTCATTACTACCTTGTCAACGTGTTGGATACTGAAACCAACATCTGGGAACAGTTACCAATTGAAAAAAGCAAGACTTCAATAGTCATACGAAATATAAAACCTTATCATCAGTATCAGGTATATTTGCAGAATGTAGGAGAGAAAGGAACTCTCAGCTGCCATGAAAAACCTATATTAATCACAACAGGTGAGGTATCCATTTCTTGTTTTATTTTGCTAGACAGAGTTTAAATTGAAAATGCAAGGCATTAAGGTATTTTTAAGGCCTATGGCAGATTGTGGTTGTTAGGATATACTTCAGAACCTTCCAAAATTTGGAATATACGTATACCATTATTTATTTATTCATTTACCTACTTATAGCATATTAGTATGAGATAAAGAAGTGACATTCTGCTTGAGAAATACTGATTTATAGTTTGTGTCTTTAATTTTAGCAAAGTAGAAGCATTACTATGATTTCTCAAATTTTTTTTTTAGGTTAAAACAGATTAATTAATTTTTTCTAATAATAGATACTGCGTCTCAGACTGTGTCATCTTTTTACTCTGTATGTGTCCAGTGGAATGGAATATGCTTTCAAAATAAGTCTCTATTTGTTATGAGAAAACAGAAAGCAAAATCTGCCTGTAACACTTAGTTGCATGCAAACTATTTTAAGAAATAAGTAAATGAATCAGTAGTTCTAAAATCCCGACGTTTTAGAAGAAAAAAATAAACCAAGAGACATCATTGGGAAGTGATTGTAGATTGATTGTAAGTTTGATATATGGCTTTATACTGACGTCTTTTTCTTTGATCAAGCTGTCAGTCCACCGACAGCTGTTTATATTCACCCAGAGGACGTACAAGAAGAGAGTGTAATCCTTCACTGGAAGCTGCCACAAGAGTGTCAGGAATCCTACATTCAAGTGAAACCTAATGCAGACATAGGTGAAACAAAAAAGTTTATATTAAGCAATATAGAAGAATTTAAGATTGATCTCCTAATTCCTGGAATGGCTTATGAAATAGCAGCGGCAAGTGTGAATAATGGAACTCTGAGTGAACTGAAGACCATTCAATGCACTTTAAGTAAGATACTGTTTATGGTGGAAACTACAGACTATAATACATGTATTGGTCTAACTGTTGTTGATACTTCTAACAGATTTTTTAGATAAAGTCAATTTGCTAAATAGCCAGGGATCAAAACTAAAATATAAAATGTACAGATCCAACCTTTTGAAAGGAAGATACAGCCTTGGAAAACACACTGATAGTAGTGACAACTGCAATGAGGACCACAGCTGGAAATCTTGTTCAATTGGCAGAAGAAACTGGGTGAATCATTGGTTTGCATTGAAATGGGAAAATACTGTAATAGTTGAAACAACTGATTTATCTTTGGAGATACTTTAGTTGTTCTGTGAACTGTGAGAAAGAAATTGCCCTGCCATTAGTGAGAGAGTACTAGGAAAGGAGTAGAAAGAGTTAGAAGTAGTAGGAGGTGAAAAGTAAAAGCTTTACACTGTTTATCAAAGGATCTTCCCCATCCATAGGGAAGGGTTTGTTGAAGGGTCTTAGTTTACCAAAATGTTGAAATGCTTTTGGTTCAGTTTAAATTTTTTGCATATGTGAAAAGAATGGGCAAGGTTCACTTATACAAGTGGTATTTAAAGGCTGCAGCTATCAGGTTATAGATACCTAAAATGCTGCATTATAAGTTTTTTTTTTTCTAAATGATTACAGTATTTTGGAGGGTAGCAGTCTGAGTCTTTTTTCATAATTTTTTATATAGGATTAGGTTTAATACCTTATTCCTGACACAGATGACAAAATTCTAGATGGGATATTTCACAGCTGTCAGAGCCAACTGTAAGGGAAGAAAACTGAACACTTCAAGGTTGTATCCATCAAATGTATCTCATTCTCCATGGTCATCTCCCTGTCCTCATTTACATTTCTGTGTATTTTTCCAGCTATCCTGCTTACCTTCCTAGTGCAGTTGTGGTTGAAAAGGTAATTCTAGTAATAAACACTTAAAAGATCAGGTTGTTCTTTGTTTCTAAGCAATGATTTTTTACTGTGATAGCTATTAGTTTGCACTGGGCAAGCATATTTCTCAGGGCAGTTGCTTTAGATTCATTATGTGGTTTTCATTTAATTTATTTTCAACTGATTTAACATGTGGCAATTTTTTTTCTTCTTTTTTTTTAGAGCCCAAACCTGTTCAAATTGTAGTTCCTTATGGGCATTATAGCAATGCAGTGGTACTATTTGTTCGCATGCCTGATATTGGAGTATTTGATGGTGTTTATGTAACAAGTAAAGAAGGACCTAATGCAACATTCACTTTTAAAAGTGATGGTAAAATAACAATTGAAAACCTTACTGCAGGAACAGAATATGATTTCTGTGTCTCCACAAAAAGTGGAAAAATGTTGAGCTCCTGTTACCATGTATATGGTGTAAAAACATGTAAGTATTTTAAGTCCTTATAAAATTGAACCATATAAAATCCCAATTTTTGAACCTTTTTGACTTTATTTTTATTTCAATGCAGTAGAAATGACATGCTATTCAAAAATCATCTTGATATATCTGTAAGCAATTTGTAGTTGTACTAACACTAGCTGATTTTTAAACAAGACTATAACAATACCTTATAATTTCTAAACTTGCTAAATTGTGTTTTTTATATTGTCTGTAAAATATCTAGCAAGTATTTCAGGAATTGAGGCTGTATTAAATTGTTGTCCGTATGGGAAACAATACATATTTTGACTGCTTACTTTAAACAAGTAGATGAGTATCAAAGGAGTTATTTCTGTGTCTTGAAATTATGAAGCTCATTCTTCCTGGTGCATCTTTCAGCAAATAATAAAAACTTTGAGATTCTCCAAGATAATAAGTTCAATAACAAAGACATTAAAAAAATTCTAGCAAGGGTTTTAAAAATGAAATTTTAGTAGGAGCTTAATAACTGTTGAAAAATACCTGCTGAAATTCTGGTTTGACTTTCCTATTTTTTATTATCTTTATACTTCCATAAGTTTTTCTTTTCCCATTGTATCATTTTCTTTTGAAATTCTTTTCTGCTCTGTTTCTGTCACAGTAGAAATTTTATGCAAGGAAAAATTAAGATAAGATAGAAAGAATTAAGGAAGAAAGAGGAGGAGAATGAGGGCAAGACAGAAAAAAATCTTTCCCAGATTGTGAAAGACTAGAAAGCTGATTTTTCTTCAATATATCATCCTTCAAGATGGCATCAATCCTTGAAAAATCAGCTTTCAAGGATTTTCACAATAAAAACTTCATGTTTGATCAACCTTATGGAAACATTTTCTAGATTTAGTGGCAAACTGCCTTAAAAAACCCAGTTTTTGTCTGTCTCTTCTGGGGCCCCAAAAACTTGGAAGAAAGAGATGTCCTAACCCTCACATGTACACAGTTTTTCTTGGAAAAAGGGTAAGTTTTGGTATATTCCAGACAGAAATAGCTGTGATAGGGATGAAACAGATGTAAAGAAGAATTGATACTCCTCTGTAATGTGATCTAAGTTGTACCTAACAAGACTATAGGGTTAAAATGTATTTGTCTAGCCTGATATACCCAGTTTTGCCGAGCTGTTTGACAAAATTTTAGTACATTATGGCCATTATGGTGGTGGTATTGGAGGGATCAACTTAATTCTGGAGAACTTTCCCACCTTGGAATGCCAGCTCTATCCTTGGAGAAATGCATGTTCAGCCTCTTGTAATTTTAAGATAAAGAAGCAAGTAATTTTCCTATATCTTTTTCCTTTCTCCATTATTCCTTTCTCAGTCTCTACATGCCTGAGATCAGATTTTACCCTCCTATTTGTTTGAATCTCTTACTGGTTATCTTCACTTTTATGTCTCCACAGGAGATAAAAGAAGTGCTAGATTGAACAAAGTCTTGGATTGAACTGTAATGTGTTTTATGTTCTTCTGTAGGTCTGGCAGCTCCGCTCAATGTACGAGAAGGTGACGTTACTGACACTTCAATACAGATCACTTGGGATCGGGCTGATGGAGATTTTGAGCAATATGAAGTGACATGTACAAATTGTGCAAGTGCTTTCAGGGTATATTTTTTAGAACATCACTTGTGTATAAGCAATGCAGTTATTTGTCAGTCTTTAAAGTAGTTACCATTTACATAAGTTAAGAAAATTTTGCGAACAGTTCTGTAAAAGCTGTATTTCTATTTCTAGGTCCAGAAGGTTAAGCAAGAAACAGCAGTGTTTTCCAACCTTAGTCCTGGTAAGCTGTACAATTTTGCAATTCGAACAGAGAAGGAAGGTTTCAGAGATAGTCTTTTTGTGACAAAGGAAATAGACACAGGTGAGACAACAATGTTGTGAAATTCAGTATTTGTTTTACTCCTGTCTTGCTTTCTTCCTGCATTTTCTTTTTGTCTCAGAGAAAAGCAACTCAACTGTCTTTGTAATTTTCTTCTAATTCACTTACATTGTTATTTTTCTTATTCTTTGACTGCAAGTGACCCTTAAGGATCTGAATATGGTTCCTTTGTACGATGAACTACCAATGTTGACTTCACATTGACTCAACCATCTGTACAGTCCAGTTAACTGATACTTACACACAGTCTAGCTGCCGGCACTATATATAACAAACTTTTTTCTTAGACTTCTCTTTAATGCTTTGTTTTCACTTCAGTGCTGAGTTTGGCCACAATTAAATGTTCAGAGCTAAATTAGTTTTATGTTGTTTTCTCACTGGCCTCCCTGTAGATCACAAGTAAATTTGGGCTTTTCTACATTTAGGACATTTGATTCTCAGCAGTGTAGTTCTCCTCTCTATTTTAATACTTCTAGCTGCTTGAACCCAAGAATATGGCTTCTCAGGCTATTAGATCTGGCATGTTATGTTTTCCTCTAAGCTATTATGGAAGAATAAAGCATTGTAGATGTTATTGAAAAGGTTCAGCATATGTGATTGAAGATATGTACTGTGCTGCATTTAAGGTACCACTGAGGATACAGGAATGTAAAATGTGATGCAAAATCATTTCTGAGAGGACAAGTCATGGAGAGGCAATTATGTAGCAAATAAATGATAATTCTTTGACATTTCTTTTTCAAGAACTAAGGACTTGAAGCTAGAAGAGAGAAAGTAGAAAACAAGCAAATGTAAATGTTTGTTTACTAAATTTGTAGATAAATTGCAGAACTTCTGGACAAAAGATGCTTTGTGTGATGATTATGATCATATGTTCAAGTGGAGACCAAAGACATGCATAAAGGAAAAATCTGCTGAGGTTTACTAAACTAAAAAAAAAAATCACCTTTGGCTCATGAAGTTCTTGGGCTGAAAAATGCAGTTTAGAAGATTAAGAAGGGGATTATCACTCTATGCAGTTCTTTCTTTTCTAGAGACATATGCTTTTGATCACTGTTGAATAAGAAATACTGTGCGAGTCATGACTTTGGTCTCTGTCTGATACGCTACCACTTATACTGACTTTTCTGTTCTTGTAGTAGTCTGTATGTCCTTGAGATAAGGAGGGTTATGTGGAGTTTTCTTTGCATTCTGGTGATGAGAGGCCTGTCATAAAGAAATGTGTTCATGTTTTTTTGAATCAATGCATTTTGTTGTATTTTCACACAGTACCAAGTGCAGTTAAATACCTGAACTACAGCAGAGACTCTGAGTCAATAACTGTCACCTGGCCACCAGCCCAAAATATATTTGATGGATATGTTCTTTCAATTAATAGTAAGGACTTCAGTGAGAAGAAAACGTTACCTTCTAGTATAAGGTATGATGATTACATTTAAAAAATAACTGACATAACTCAAAGCAACTGTTTCATTATATATTTAAAATAAGTAGCCTGTGCTGTTATTTATATGTTATATATACTTGATGATTCAGTTGACATACAGTTCTATATCATGTACTTTAAGAACTGCGTTTTTTGACAAATTGCAGGTCTCATGTAATGTGCTTGTGCAAAGAAGAGCAAACAAAATACTACACTGGATTGAGCACTAGTAGAACCTGTGTGCCATTCTGGGTGTTTAATTTAATACTTCAGAACTTTCTAGCACTTGAACTTGCTGTGAACCATAGTGCAATGCAGCCTATTTAAGATTTCATAATACTAAAATATTTTTTGAGTGACAACATATAAACATGTATATACACATATGTAAATAATATCTATAAAACTATAAAGAATAAACATATGGAGAGATGTGCATTTTTAGAATCCTAAAGAACACAATGTCTTCTTTTCATCTTCCTAGAATGTACAAATTTGAGCATCTCCTACCAGGCACTGATTTCTTAATCAATATTGTGACAACCAATGGACTAAAAAGAAGTCACCCGACCATCCTCAAGATTAACACCTGTAGGTTCAGTTTATTAATGACTTTTCACAGTTTCAAATAACTAAGCTTGTTGCATTTTAAGGTATTGTCTAAGAAAAGCTATTCCTTATTAATCAATACATCTTAATAATGTCTGGATTAATGCATGTAAGTCTTTCTTTTCAATATAAACATCTCTGAAAGCTACTAAGCATATAAAAGCTTTTAGAACACAAACAATTTTCTTCTCTATTTAATGGGATTCTGCCAACAACTGAATTAACAGTAGTATTAGGATGTTAAACTTTTCTATAAAAATGTATAATTTTTTATTTTATTTCTGATTCTATTGCTAATATGTCAAAACAAATTTTCATTTATTTGAAGGTCTTCTTAAGTGCAAAATGAAATCTGTTACTACATGGAACTATAAAATAATGAATTACAGCAGTGTATTCTGTAAATGCCAATTTCCTTAAAATTAATATAGATTATTTTAAATTTAAATTTTGCATCGTCAGATCCTGGTCCACCATCAGATTTGCAGGTATTTGGACAAGAAGAAAATACAGTCTATTTTTCTTGGAAACTACCAAGGGGAGGATTTAATATGTTTCAGGTGAGATAAGGGTGGGAAGAAACCAATGCATTTTTTTTTTTTTTTATGATTTCTCAATGAAATTATCATTCTGTAGGTACTGCAAACCCAGCAATAAACACTTGCCTGTATAACCCATGGAAGTATGGGAGAGAATACTGCTATGGAGAAAGGCCAGCTAAATACTTACTTCCTATTGCATAACAATTTAAAAAAAGAATATTCTAAAATTATGCTTTTCATAGCTTTCAAAAATTGATTTTTCAGCTAGTGTGCAATAAAAAAGATTACAGATCAAGGTTTGAGTGCAACTACAATATAATCTTCTCTCCTTAGCTTTCCAAATTTGTAACACCGATTCATTTAATTACAGTAAAAGATAAAAAATACATTCCATATAGAAGAATCTAAATGCTTTGTTTAGAAAGTTACAGAATAAAACT